CCCAAAGCTTGACAGGCAAGGCCAATGTTAGTTTTTTTATTTTTTAAACGAGTGGTATTTCTGACTTGGTGAAAAAATTAAATACAATCTTTGTGAAAAATATATTCCGACATAATAACAAGTTTTGAATGGTTAATTCCACAACAAAAAAAAGGTAAAATAACTGTAGTAATTAGTTCCTACATGAAGTCACAATGTACGTAAAGCAAGCATTAAAACAAAAAAATCTGTTTTGTTTAAATTTAAGCTTTCCGACAATTATAGTGATTATCAAAGTTTAAAACGTAATATCTGCATATCGCTTCTTTGTAGTATAAAAACCAATTCTAAAGATCTGTACGAGGTCATTAAAAGCGACTGACGGCTATTCATGTTTGCATAATACTGCATAGTTGTAGCTATTTTGCATATTTTTACATATTTTTGCAAATTTTTCAATTGACGAAATTTCCGACATTTATTTTATTGTTGCATTAATTTTGAAAATTAGCTCTCAAATTTAGGCTACAAACAAAGTATTTAAAGCTTCAACAAGAATCAATCACATAAATTGCCCGATATGCACTAATTATAGTACAAATATTGAAAAATAATTGATAGGTTAAATCGGAAAGACTGTTGAAATGCAGCGATATGGTATATATATTTTTTACTAAAAAATGCACCTAAAAGTTACTTGGGCAAAACACTCCCCCCCCCCCCTCGTCCCCGAAATGTAACGGGAAACAAGTACACACTTAATAGCTCCTATAAATTAAAATAAAAATATCTCTGGACTGTTAAATTATAGGTAAAGAAGCATTATATCCAGTGGTGCAACTGGCTCAAATGTGAAAATTGCCGAAATTTCGACTATATCTGAATTAGAGTGTTCTACAGTGATACAACCAGTAAACCAGAAAAAATTCAAATGTTCTGTTTTTTGGCTCTCAACTTCTTCTGATTCTAAAAGGAAATCAAAAATATGAGGTATTTTGAACACTTTAGATTTAATTATTTATTTATTATTTATACAAAAAAGTTTTAGATCTCTAATAATTTTAGATTGTTAGTTACGAAAATCTAGAGAATTGTTAAATATTTCACATTCTATACTCTAAAAATCAAAAAAACTGACCAAAATATCGAAAACTCCGTAAATATTCATGATACTAGGTATATTCAAATGATCTAGAGATATTATTATTTTATATTTAAGATTATCTAGAGTGAAACAATCAATAAAAAGCGAAAAACTTCAAAGTTCAACGTTTTTTTGTTTTTAACTTCTTCTAATTCTAAAACTGTCAAAACTTCCAAGAAATAAAAAGTGTGAATATGTTTTGAGTAGTTGGAAAATTATCTATAGAAAAGAATTTCTGTATAATATCTAGAGAATTGAAGGAGATGTATAAACGTTAAAAACTTCCAGACTTTCTAGGCACCCTTGAAAATTTTAAACAAAGATATCGAATCCTATAGTAGTCACAGTTGTTTTTAATATTCACTTTTTTTGTCGACGATAAACACATTTGTTAATAATTTAGCTTCTCAGGGACAGCAGAGAATTATTTTTAATAACATAAGAATTTAGCTTCCAAGACACCAATAAATTTTTTTTTAAATACACTTGAACGTGTATTAAGTAAAAAAGAAACCCAAACGATAAGCCCCGCCTCGGTTTAAATCTGCCTTTAATTTTTATTTAATATACTTAGTATTCTTTGAACTATGATACTAAAAAACACGAGAATTTCTTATTGAGAAGTAAGGCTTTTTGCGATTAAGCTTCGCCCTGTTGGCTCACGACGAATTAAAAAAAATCATCACAATTGACATCGGGTGGGTGGGCGGGGCTTATATTTTGCCTTTTTTACTTAATATACGTAATCACCTTTTCACAACAAAAATTTAAAACATGTTTCGCCCCCCAGTCTGGCAACGAATGAAAAATTCATCACAAGATTAAGCTCCACCCTTACCTGCCCCGACTTCAATAGTAATGACGTTTTCATTCGTTATCAAAAATTTACCATTCTAAACATGATTTAAGATTCTTGTTGTAAAAACATAACTAAGTATATCCCCACCTACCCGCCCTATCTCAATCGTGACGAATTTTTTTACTCGTCGTAAGCCGTGGGGCGGAGTTTAACTCCAAATTCCTTATTTCTCTACAAAAAATTGCTGTATAAGACATGTTCTTGAGTAACCGTGTTGTTTAAAGCAAACTATATGTATTAATTAAAAAAGAAAGCCAAAAGATAAGCCCCACCCATTCGTCGCCAAACCGAGGGGTGGAGCGTAATTGCAAAATGCTAATTCCTAGACAAAAATTTACCATTTTAAACATGTTTTAAGTTTCTTGTGAAAAGATGACTACCTATTTCAAGAAAAAAAGACACAATATAAGCCCCGCCCACCCGCCCTACCTCAATCGTAATGATTTGTTTACTCGTCGTAAGCCAAGAGGGCGGAGCTTAATTGGAAAATCCTTATTCGTCTACATGAAATTGCTGTGTGAAACGTGTTCTTGAGAAATCGTACTATATTTATTTAAGTACAAAAGAAAGCTCAAACATAACCCACCCATTCGTCTCGATCTCAAACTGACTTTAATTTTTACTTAATATACATAGTATTCTTTGAAAAACACGATACTCAAAAACATATCTGGTAATTTCTTGTAGAGAATTAAGGATTTTGCAATTAAGCTCCGCCCTCTTAGCACACGACGAGTAAAGAAAAATCATCACAACTAAGATTGGGCGGGTGGGTGGGGCTTATATTTTGCCTTTCTTTTCTTAATATACGTCGTCATCTTTTCGCAACTAAATTTTTGCATTTTACATATTTCCCTACGAAAAGTTATGAATTTGTGTTAAAAGAAAAAGAAATGAAACAAAGCGGCCCCAATATTATTTTGAGTTATTATTAAATATAGACAAGCGCAGTATTCCTATATTCTTAGTCCTCGAAAAAATTGGGAGAAATTAAATTGATCAATAATAAAAAAAAACCTAAATGGCCGGGAATCGAATTTTTTCGTTTATAAAGCGAGAGCTCGATTACCTAGTACATTCGTATTATGTATCTCAAATAGAGGAAGAATCAAACAATAAACACATATATAAATACAATATGTAATAATAAACAAAATCAAGGTGGATTCATAAAGTACAAGTACACAAGCAATTATTTTATAAAATTTAAATGTTCTTTACTGCGTAAAATGAAGAGCTGACGTCATAAAATTCTTGGTAGGTATGTTTTCACAAATTTTGGTCAGCGTTGCATATCTAGACGATATTCGTCACACAAAAAAAATAAATTACAACAATCTGACGGAAAAACTAGATGGTGAGTTGCTAAAAAGGTTCTGATGAATTCGAATAGAAGCTAATTTTTGAAAATATTAAACTACAAAGTTGTGAGGAATCAACTTCGTAAATGTAAAATTCCGATAAAAATTGTCAAAAATCCATCTGTAAACAATAAAATTACGTTGCGGATCGTATTCTACTAAATTATGATCTAATTATTCTCAAAGCTAATTATTTAACTGTCCGTTAGACATGCAGTTTATTAAAACGAATCAGAATTACGAAGTTAATTCTTCAACTTTAACCTTTAATATTTTCAAAAGTTAGGTGTAGAGCTTTTCCGTCATTTTTGGATTACCGACATCGCAAGATCGAAATCGTTCTGGCGTCGAATTCGCACACTGGTGTTTACATATGGTACGTTTTTATTGTTCGTTGTTACATATCCATCATCTCACCCTCTTTTAGGCATCGAGGGAGGTAGATATTCGATTATACCCCAACCAATGTACAAAGCATTTGCAATACAAAGGGTAGACTTTGAAACCGAAAAGATTAACGTTTTAAACACTACCTAAACCTTGCTATTGTAGCGTGTATTGCTTTCGACACCTCACTATCCGCTACACTGTAATCTTGTGAAAATGGCAAGTCCCCAATCGGCGCACCTTTTTTTTTGTTTGCAATCGAAAAGTTAAGGCCAGTGTGCAATGCGTAAAACCACAAATTACGGACCCGCGGTCAAAATTTGGCGGTCGGCAAATCGTGAACAGCAGGTTTGCAAATTTAATTGAGATATCCCGCCCTGTAATATAATATTAATTTTTTGTTTGTAGGCCAAAGGTAGTTTATTTTTACTTTACATACCGAATTCGAGATTAGCGAAACTTTCGATCATCAAAGTTTTGACTTGAAAATTGTTGTTAGTACAGTATTTAATCTTTACTGAGAACGTTAAATATTATTTCATGTCTCGACTCTGCAGTTCCTTACTGTTTTGTGGAATTAAACACAGGATCTATATATTTAGTGCTCCATGGACGCTTCCTGTTACAAGTAGGGAAGTGAAAACAAACAAGAAGTGCATTTTTTTTTTTTAGTAAAACCGTTCGTCGAAGACAAAACCACTAGGAAGGTTCAAATTTAGGAACAAAATCGAATTAGTACTGATGTAATATTTGTAGCCAATTTTATGTTTCCTGTAACGCGGTTTTACTAGATCGCATAGACGATACGTTTCCTTAAACAATAAAATGCAGATTTTAAGTGTCCGAAACCCAAAACACCAAACCAAAATTTCCGCCCGTCGCCAAACTCGACGTGCTCCAACAATGCCCAAACGTGTCGTCTTCGAACGCAGTTCTCGGAACGAAAATAAAAGATATTGTTAATTTATCCGTGTTTGTGTGCGCGGTGAGATCACCCTGCTGCACTATTCTAGACTCAGTAAGAGCACCTTTTGTGAGGCCCGTCCCAGAAACAGCTGATCAAGTCTGTAACAGCCGTCGGCTGACATCACACAACAAAAATTCAGGTCGCCGCATGGTCAACGACAAACAGTCCTTCTTCAATTCGACGAAAAACTTTCCTTTGAAAACTTGTGCACGTCGATTTAGAAATTCAAATTTCTCAATCAAGGCTGGCCGACAAAAACCTAATTATGGTTTGGGACACGAAGCCGGGCCGACACACACGCGCATTCTTTCCACGTATTGAAATGCAAAACGTATGCAAGCCAATAGAGGGGAAGAAACTCGTTAGAGCTAATACGACGAGCATCTCGCTTCCTTTGATTACAATGAAGCTCTTTGTACCTAGAATGTGTCTACCACTTCAAGTGATATTAATAGGCCATCTCAACACTTCGCGACTACACACTATGTCGCTCCATATCTTTCACATACATCCGTGCCAGGCACTCGGTGAAAAGGAAACGCAACCACTGAGTCAACAATCACATGGCACGTATACCCGAATACGAGTTTGGGCCGACTGACTCACATCGGTGAGAATTTTTCGGTGTTAGACCAAATGGATCAGCATTTTGCGCTAGCTGTAACACTTTTTTCACCCTTCAGTCTTGCTACTCTGACTGCTTTTGCTCTCCGCGCCTACGAAAGAAAACATTGCAAAGGAAGTAATTTCGACAAATAAACGTTTCATACCTTCTTTGCATTTTACGGGTCGTAGAATACGAAAATGCAAATTTTCGTTCCGTCTGTCCGAACGTTGGCCATTTATAACATACTCTCTAAAACTACCCGACTTCTTTGTTTTGTTCCCTTTCCTACATATTTTGGTGTGTTTGTTTGTTGTGTGAATCCCAGGAAATATCGACCTTAAATGTACAGGAAGTGGTAGTATGAAGTGATAAAATTTAAATAGAGGTGTCCACATGAAAAAAATGAGATGGCTCTTTTTTAATAAATTCAAAAACCCAGGATGAGTTAAAAATTTTACAAAAAAGCGACTCCATCTGTTTATTTACCTATGAAACTTTGCAAGACATATTTCAAAGGGCGATCATCAACTCCGGTCCAAGGTCATATCTTGTTACACTGGTACCTGGAGTGCCTTAATCCCTCGCCCGAACTCCGGCCTAAACTGATAAGAGCTCCTATTGTAAACTTTGTGTAAATTGTATCTAGAAGTAAGGAACAGTTGTGCGCGACGGTCAGAAAAATGTGCATCTAATTTTAAAGGTTAAAATACCATAATCATTGCATAACAAATTCATAAAAAGTTTTTAGAAAAGCAGATCTGATGATTTTTATATCGCTGTACTGCTAGACTTACTATAAAAATCATGGAACTTATAATGTTGGAAGCTTCTTATTAACTAGGTATCTGTAGGCAATGACAACTTTTATACTCCTCCATTTGTGTGAAGTGTCCTATGACTTTTTTGGGGATTAGACCTGCCATATGGGGTAACTAACCGCGGTGCGCAAGTGACCCAACACCTACTGAAACCAAATAATTCAGAATACGTGTAATAAGAATAAGTAAAGAAGTTAGTTAAGATAACGGCAGAATTTTATATGGCAAAATTATGAAAACCGCAATTCTGGATACGATTAAACAAAACATGTCTCATATACTGGGTGATTAACTAATCAGTACGTTGTGTACGGGGGTTCGGGAACCTCCAAAAAATTCTTGAAGATGTAGATTACGAAAAAACGTAATTTTATAAAAGTAAAATTGGCAACACTGCACGCACCTAATGCGTGAATACCTCCGGATTACTTTGTGTTTCCAAATTTTGATCATTGTTTTGAAAAATTCAAAAGTACTTGCCAAAATAAAACTGATTTTGGCAAATGACATATCCTCTAAGAAAAGAGAGGGTGGGTGGGCGGGGCTAGTACCTACTAAGATAAGAATTATTTTAGCAGATGAGGTACTTTCTAAGAAAAGAGTGGGCGGGTGGGTGGGGATAGACTTTATTTAATGCTAATATTCTCTAAATAAACAATTATTGAAATAATTTTTAAGGTAGGTACTTCGTTTCCTAAACTAAATTGAATTGAAAGTATTCCCGCACTAAATAAGCATAATTGAGAAATTTGTCATGCCTAAGGAGCGAAAAGTTAAGGTGTCGGATTAGTGAACGCCCGACCTTGAGTGCAGTTGAGGTTCAACGATGCTAAAAATAACCCTCTTGCATTTTTTTTGTTGATAAAAATAGAATAGATTGGCATCTGAGCTTCAAAAATAAAATACATATGCTTATAAAACATATAAAGAGACAATCAGAGCATGTTAAAATATACAGGGTGGTGAAAAAATGAGGATGTTAAGAAAGGTCAGATCAACTCGAAAAAAATGGTTCAAAAAATCTCTGAACCAAAATGTTGAGAATACGAAACTTCAAAGTTCAAGGATTATCTTCGTAATTCTGATATGATTTAATGTGAAAAATTGACAAAAATTACATTTTTCAACTGTAAAATATTTATAATTACTCATATTTAGGTGTCTATTAGGCAATGCAGTTCAATAAAACAAAAATACGTGTTCCACTTAAAATACAAAAATGTTTTATGTTGCGCTTCAAAAATAGTGTAATTTGTAAAAGTTGAAAATATTTTTTATGTGGCTCAAAAATCCATAAACAAAGGATATATTGACCCACCTGTGTACACATATCATGCTGCCATTTTCCAAATAATGACAAAACAAATAGAATCCACTCCTTAACAGTTGAGAAACATTTCACCAGATGACGTATTTAAGTAACGGTATTTCGTATTATTAAAGTTGCATATCCATTTATTAGTATATGGATATATGTTCTCTAGAATACGAAATTTGATAGATAGATCTATTATAATATCGGGTGTTCAAATGAGAAACTCAAGTTGGCGCTGATTTTTTGTAAAGTCTGCAATAAACATAAAATTTAATCAAGGACATCTGACAATGCAGAATAGTCCAACCTAACCTGACTTTCTCGTATAATAACTCTTTCAAATGTCATTTATACACAATATGGATCAATAAAACACTCTTTCGCTACGTTTACCTCAATCAAAAAACAACGCCAACTTAGACTCCAATTACAAACTTTCAACGATCAAGATCGGAGTACAAAGTCAAATCTCAGTTATAGCTGTCTTCCTCTACCCGCAAGTACGCACATCACTTATACTCGTAGCATCGCAAAGGAATGATATTTCAGCTTTTAAACTTGTAATGAGTTAACAGTTAAAACCGGATTACATTATTATAAAATTTATAACTCGGTTCTGCAGACGGCTTTTTACTTGCGGAACAAAGAACAATTGAAGGGTGGAGGGGCTGAACAAGGAATGTCACTTAAAATTTACAAATTACTTAAGTATTTAATCCTTTTTCCCGTTTGCTCTCAAAATTTATACCAAACGCCTTTTAAAGTCTTCGGCTGGCGACTGTACTATACAAGAACATGTAGACCAAACATTTCATTCTTTTTTTTCTATCCTAGAACATAATGAACGTAAAAATGCAGACACTATTCAAAAGGTTCTTTGGTGGAAAACCGCCTCTCGAGCGTTCCGTTACTAGAACGTTCTCGACTCTTTCCTATAACGGTATTTGCAATGTTATGTATCCGTTCGGTTTCGAGTACTTACGCTTCAGTCTCCAAAAACATACTTTTACGCTCACTTTTCATTCAGCAGTTAGAAAAAGTTGACACCCGTCGGCGCAACGCGCTTCCACCGCTCCACGTTTGAGAACTGCCGAGTTGTTTGGCGACATCTTCTACGTCTCGGGATAGACTCACACTTACGTGTCAACACAAACCAAACAATCCTTTTGCAAAAGTGAGGTAAAATTTGGCAAACGTTGTCGCCAGATATGAGATCAGCTGTTTGCTGTTTACATGACTTAATTGTTCCGCTTGTTTGCTCTACAAGCTATCGCGTTTATTTTTAGATGACACGGTCGCGTAATTGCAGTAAACAGCTGATTATCATCTGCAAAATCGCCGCTTGTGAAGCTGCTGCCGCATAAATTCTCTCATAATTACGGCGAACCGTCTAACAAGAGGGGGCCTCTCTTGTCTCCTTACCAAGTTTATCGATCCCATGGTGACCCCTCTACAAACGCATTCCTTTGCTATGATACAGCTAAAAATACATCGCAAATGGTGTGGAATAGTTGCTGGATCACATGACATCAAAAATATTTCCAATCCGCAACCTCTCCAACAACGCGGTCGCTTTTTAAACGGTTCCAGTTAGATTCCAACGATCGGTAGTTGCAAAACACGTTACATTCGAGCAACATACGAATGTTATTTTCGGCTCGATTGTGAAGTTTAGAGTTGTGGTTGCGACATGCGATCTACCATTTCTACCGAGACGTCTAATTTAGGTTACGATTTGTTGTAAACACCATAAACACATGTTTTCCTCTATATAATCCACAATTAGGAAACACTGACGTTATCTGGACTTTAATTTTTTCCAGGCGCCACTATCGAATATTATGTATGCTATTTACGTTAGATTAGATAATCAAAATCCCACCTACTTCGTCGCTCCAAACGCAAACAGCGAACAGGTGAATGGCATTCTTGACTCTAACTGAAAATAATACAGAATCGTTGCGCACACCGTGGAATTGACGAAAAAACTGCCTTGGCATTTCTATTAGCTGTGTCTATGAATAGGTCAATAGCTCCGGAGAATCAAGGACAACGGACAAGGAAACTCGAAATGAGGAAACGTCGTTCTTTGCACAGGTGTCTTCCACGGTAAACATAACGAAGAGCTAATTGTCGCTATACGAGACCACGCAAAATGGCCGCTTCGTTCACCTCCACCATTAACGACGGAAAAAGAAGAGATACCTGGAGAGCGGCACTCAAAAAATGCGCTAGGAATGCGTGACGTAACTACGTGCAACGTGTGACCGAGTGTTGGGTCTTTAAATCGCTGGAACGTAACTTGGGTGCGCACCGGAAAATTCTCTGCAGAAGAGCTAGCAGAATGCATTCCAGCACGCGGTTCAATATGGCGCGCAGAAACGACTTTGTTACAACAAAAACGCTACATATTTTCATTACAAGAAAAAGAACAAAGAACGTATGCATTAAAACCGCATTATTAATAGCTGGCGTTGTTTAAACTTTTACTTATTTCTTTAAGAATATGGTAAGATCAAGGTTTTATGAAACGGTTAAGCCCAAACGAACCTTTCCTAATAATAGTTGCACATTTGCGGTTTGGTCACGTCGGTTGACAAGAGAACGTTGTTCCATAGCAAAGTGCAGTGGTTAGAAGTTAGAAGCAGGATTTTGAAAATGTTCTAAATATCGTAATTGTCATGACTCTAATTCAACGGGGGGAGAATCTGGGTTATGGCTGTCTAAAGACTCACCACGATTCACACATGTAGAATTGATGCTGTGTTTCCCCCTTCAATTAATTAGTGGTCCAGCCCTTTCCCTACCGTTTCCGCATACTGTACAGTTTTCACCGAATTTATATCTAAATCCCATCGATATCAGTCTAGACGAGCTTCTAGGAAAGATCTAATTCTCACGGTGTTTAAACTGGCAATTAAACTAGTCTGCTGAGTTTTTGATTTTGATCTTTGGAATAGAAGAAATATCACAAGGAATATTAATCAACGACATTTAAACTAACATACATGTCAACCATCACAAAATTTGCAACAATTGTCGAAGTATATTGAATATTTTCCACCGATGTAGTGTTTACAGATCTAGCAATGGACGTAGAGGCTATTCGTACGGATCTGATATCACATCAAGTCACAAGTCATTCGCATATTAGTAGAAGTAGTACTACTTGATAAACCTAATCTACTTATCTATGTGAAAGAAGATAATCACCTTCTACTTACTCAAATTTCGTAAAGTACCGTTTAATTCAAGGAAAATACATAATATTAATTGTCATCGATATAATTTTCCCAAAACTGATTTGTCAAACCTATGTTCTATACTCAGCCACTTAAACGGGAATGAGATCATTGAAATCAATCATCTGACTGGCAAGATGCATAACCTCTTTGATACATTTGTTCCAAGTGCTAAAGTTCGCTATAGTACCAATTTTCC